GAGAAAGGTGATGGCTTTTTTATTACAAAGTTTCTGAAGTTTAGCTATAAACTGTCTTTTGCCACAGTAAGTGGCAGTTCAATTTTACCCTATCACATAAAAAAATGGGAATTGGGCATCTAAAGAACAAAAGTCAGTGGCCTATTCATTGCGGCAGGCCAATGTTCAGCAGTGGATATCTTTTGGCTGATACGAAGCTGATGGATTGGATTGGTGTGGAGATGGCCCGATGCCTCCTGTAATATCCCTTACGAATCCAAGTGCTGTGCTTATTGCACGCAGTTTTTTTTTTTAAGGTGGGTAATGATAATTGTAAGCAATCAGCGTCACCCATGGACACCCGTAACAGAGGATTTAAGAGTGCGTTGCCGACCTTTTGGGGACTAGGGAATTTGGAGATTTTGGGATTGGGGGAGAGGAAGGATTGGGCATCGGGTAACCTCACTCACACGACGAAACACAACGCTGTGGTTGTTTCACGCCGGTTTTCTGTGAGGCCGTGGTATCACTCCGTTCGAGCCGACCCATTCGTGCCGAAGCATGGCTCTCTAACACTTTTCTGTAAGGCGGTGGTATCAGTCTGGTCGAGCCGGTCTATTCGTATCAAAGCATGGTCCGCCCATCCCATCATAAGTAGGTTATGGAATGCTGCATAGGAACTCCTTCTCCGACAACCTACTTGGTGGTATCTCCTCTGGTATTACAAGTGTCCATTTACGACGCTGATTGCTTACCATCAGCTCATTTGCCCTCGATTCCATAAAAGTGATGATGATGAGATACTCAACATTCAAAGGTGTCCAGTTTATAACCAAATATAGTATAGACTGTCTGACTTTCTGACTAACAAATTGTCTAGGTCAAGGCTTTGCATGCATAAATGAATCGATTTAAAATTCTAATCGAGTATTCGCTTTCGTATTCGGACATATTTACAGTCGAGTAAGTTTAGTAGATTGCGAGAAAGCTTGCTTTGGTTGTATGCCAGGAGTAAAGTGTAGAACAGAATAGAATATATCTGATTAGCTTAAACATATTTTCACTTGTGCCATAATTTAGACAATCTCCGGTACTGGACATTTCTAACACATGAAGAATTATGATGCGTTGCTATCTTTCGCTGGTCAGGGATTTGAAGATATGGGGATTTTTTTATGGTATAGGTCGGCAAACAAACCGACGGATTACCTGATGGTAAGCAATCAGCGCCGCCCAATGGACACCCGCAACACCAAAGGAGTGATTGTTGAGTGCGTTGCCGGCCTTTTGGGGAAAGTTTAGGATATTTAACGATTGGAAAGGGATGTATGAGGGGAAGCATTGGGCTTCCGGTAACCTGACTCACGGTTGTTTCACGCTAGTTTGCTGTGAGGCCGTGATATCACTCCTATCCGAAGGAAGTGACGAAGCACGACTCTCCCATAGTTGACTGATAATTGCTTTCCCTTTTCTGATAATATTGTGTTTAGGGACATAGTTGTAATTAATATATCCATTCTTTTCGGCACCAGAAGATGTGGGGTCTTAAAGACAAAGGTCTTTAACAGGTTAAACGCAAACATATAGTTCGAAGACCTCATTTCTCAAGAATACTTTTTGATGACTTAGGCCTTAATAAGGAAACCGAAATTGCAGTGCAGACAAACTAGTTAGACCATCAGCTTTTAGGCTATTTAGGCAGTCTACAATAAACCACTTTGGAAGAGCACATGACCCTAAAATCGTATGTTAAAATGCAGCAAGAAACAGCCAAAATCCTATTCGAAAGTGTACCATCTCGATTAGAATTCGTAATCGATTCAAACAACATCGATTAATATTCGATTCTCGTTTTCGACACACATTGTATCCTGAGCGATTTTACGATCCTTCCGGCTGCTAGACGTGTTAGTATGTTGTGTTTTTAGAGGTAACGAGACGAGTACGTGACGTGATAGATTATAATTAAATATGGTTTTGTGGGCAAGAAAAGAAAACTGGGTCGTGTGCTTAATTTTTCTTTTGATCAATCGAAAGATAAAAGATAAAGTTATGAGAATGTGCGATATTCTATTAAAATTGCTGTTACTGAGAAATTTCTATTTATAAAGCAAAAAAATTAGGTAAACGCGGGGCAAATATGATGAACTGCACTGTTATCGCCAGATCGATTACCGTACGGAAAAACTCTTTGCGTGTGTACGAATTGTTGTTCCGGGTTGGGTGCAATATTTTTGTTTGTAAACGCACTCACAACACAAAATAAAACCTAATTAGGTTGAAGCAAAAAAAAATGTACATCAAACATTTTAGGTGGTATATGCACACGTGTTTTACGCGACTTAATTTTTTTATTGAATATTAACAAAAGCTCATAAAAATGACGGCTTCGCGACGTGGTTGCGATGCCGACGCTGCTCATGAATAAGAGTCCCGTTGTGGCTTAAAACAAGTTGAGCTTTTCTTAGTTAATTCACGTGAATAAGTCGTTATTATCAATAAACTAGGTGTTCCTAAATAAATAAACTATTTATTTAAGAATACAAAATACAATTTCAATATTGTCTACGCACACAAAAAAATTAAGAAAAAAAATCGTTTCGTTTTCGTATCGTTAGGAGTAAAAGTCATTAAAGATATCATTAGTAGCCAGTTTACGATAGGTCACATTCCTAACATACTTTTTTATATGTTTAATATTATTATTAGTAGGATCAATGTCGTAAAATAGATGATTATGATTAATTAGTATTTAAATTTGTTTTACTAGCTTCTACCAGCGGCTTTGCTTGCAGTGACAGGGTACAAAATAGGCTTTTGATAACTGCAAACATTTTTTTCAAAAGACGCTTAGGTAGAACTCTATAATATGTTTTGTAGGCTACTTGTAAAGAAATCTTAAAATAACATAACATTGATAGATAGGTATTCCTATACTCTAGAATTTTCTTCTTCCGCCAGCGGTTTTGCCCGCGTTTTAGGCTGATAAAAGTAAACTACGTGTTAATCCAAGGTAAAGCCCATATATGTAGGTAAGTACATATCAAATCAGTCCAGCCGTTTCTGCGTGAAGGAATAACAAACAAACATACATCGATAAATACTAAAAAACTTTCTAATTTATAATATTTGTAGGATACTTAGTAGGATTAGTAGAATTTATTATTTTTATGAGTACCTAATAACAAGGTATTCTTATATAAATATATTATACTAGCTACTCTCGCGCGGTTCCACCCGCTGCTCGCCCGCGGCTAAATTTGATCGTTGCGTGATGTTTTATAGCCTATAGCACTCAGGAACATTATAGCTATCTATCAGTGAAAGAATTTCGGCAATCCGACCAGCCGTTCCAGAGATTACCCCCTACATACAAACTTACATACAAATTTTACCTCTTTATAATATTAGTATAGATGTAATAAATAAATATTGTAAAATGGTTGATCATGAACCGAATTCTGATTCATTGGTGCTCAAATTAAATAGAAAGTTTTTTTAGTGTGACTACACGCTTCCATACCCGCACACAATGAATCATTGTGTGATCTATGCAACAGGATATTTTTATTTACTGCTATATTTTATTCCGAAATCGTTTCGGTTGTAATGTGTTATGTTTATACAGGAAAAATAATAAATTGTTAATCCAAAAATTTTCTAATATTTACAGTTATTATTTGTTGAAATCTAACTACACAGTTGGCAATTTGCAACATGGCGCCGCTTTCTCGTAATACAAACACTTTTTTTGTGATTGACAATTGTTCTTCCGGGTGTGGGTGTGATGTATTTGGGAAACTGTATGTTTGTAAACGCACACACGACACCTGGCAAGTACCAATGTGACTTTTTCCGAGTTTTATGTACTTGCTATGACCAGTATGTCAGTGGTGTCTAAATAAAACACCAATGACAAATGGTGAAGGAAAACATCTAGAGGAAACCTGGACTTATGATTTCTAATTATAAGTTTGCCGTTTTTTATAAGGAAGATATGTGTCATAATCACATCATATCATTAGCCTATAGTGCCCACTGCTGAGCAAAGACCTCGGACGGAGAAGGTTCGAGCAATAATCACCACGCTTGCTCAATGCGGGTTGGCGATTTCAAACTTATAATTAGAAATTATAAGTCCAGGTTTCCTCATGATGTTTACCTTCACCGTATGTCAGTGGTGTCTAAATAATCATAGAAAGTACATATAACTCGGAAAATGTTACAAATTACGTGACAGATTAAACTGCTGTCGAAAACAAGTGAACAACGCTCAGGTCAAATTTTCCATGTTTTAAATCGGTACAAAATTGATTACAAATCATTATTTTATGCAAAACTGTCTCAGAGTACGGAGGTAACGGTCGGCCTCTATTGGTCGCGAATTTCGGAACTAAGGTCTGTTACACACTAGAAGATGTAATATTTTTTAGCGACCCACCCCAGCTTAGCACGGGTAAAAAGCTGATACTATATTTCTCTGTTGTTATACTTATGAATTAGATTCTTCAATCACTCCACCTATCAAAAAAAAAATCGAAAAAAAAAACAAAATCCTATGCGTACCAAGTGCTAGCAGTAGTTTTAAAGATTTAAACATAAATAGGGATATAGGGACAGAAAAAACGACTTTGTTTTATAATAATTATGCAGTGTTGTCTACCAACAATTGTTCACACCGATTTGTTCACAAACTGAACATCTGTTTAAACTTTACACCGTAGAACAACTACTTATATTATGTAGGTTAATCATATTATAGTGAGTAAAAACAAAACAATGCAAAAAAAACAAAAACTATATTATTATAATGATAAACCATTTGAAAACTTTAAAAAAAAAAATCAAATATAATTCTGTTTTTATAATAACTATCGTGAGACGTACTAAATTAACTAAAAATCGCGGGTTATTCACGTGTGTAATTGAGAAAAGCTTTACTAGTTTCGAACCACAGAGTGGTTCTTACGAGGGGTTAGCGTTGGCGCGTTGGACTCGCCGCAGCGCAACCATCAACAGCGATGCAGGCGCCAACGCTAACCAGTAAGCTGTGCGACGTCTCCGCGTCCGCGCACGCTGCTAATGAGGAAGAACTCCTCTGTGGTTCGAAACTAGTAAAGCTTTTCTCAATATATACACGTGAGTAACCCGCGCTTTTTTAAATAAATGTATTTCTCCCACTCTCTAATATTTGATATTTTTTAAAGTCAACACAATGAGTCTTTCTTATTGGGAATTAAACCCGCGACACGTTGCATAGCAGCCTGTTGCCAAGCCACTGCGTCACTGTGCATCTATTATACTTCGTCTGACAGACGATAACTACTAACCAAGCGTCAATAACTACACCAAGCTATAATTTATATCTTCTCTCTTTACTACATAACAAGCTAAATTCCAGTTTCATTAACTCAGCTGGCATGTGTTCTACTTTATAAATATACATACATACATACATACACACCATATCTCACTATAGTGATAATTTTTACAGCACGTGATAAACAAACATATCGTCGAATTTATATTAATATGTTTCATTTGGGCCAGTAGTTCAGTTTAATAAGTTAACTGTATCTGATTTCGATTTTGTAAAAATGTGTACATATATATACACTTAATAACTTTGCTTTTCGAGAGGGAAGGGATTATCAATTGACCTCTCTCTCCCAGGGTATGGTATGGCCTCGCGAGAAGGAGTGTCAGACATATATTGACAAAAAATCCCCCCATTACTTCTCTTGATCCAGACCCAGACCGCGGTTCTTTGTAAGCATAATTGCTTCGCAGAAAGAGAAGCCGGCTTCCTAGTTCTTTTCGCTCTATAGCATGGCTTCGGCTAAGGGCGCCAGAGGTCACCGCCGCCGATCGCTTTCCTGAGGAAACGGCGGAGCTTAGCCCAAGTAAGGCACACCTCCAACTTGTCCTCTGCGTGTCCTCACAACGGATCCAAAACAGGAACCGACCGAAGCTGCCGTGCTCGGTAAGCACATGCGTCAGGTGGAAGGTGAAGACGCCGTGGCGTCTCTCAAGCCACTCCTCAAAGAGGTGTCTTACCGCTGCTATAGTAGCGTGCCCGGCCCTCGGTTTTGAGAGTCGCTGCTTCCACTCAGCCATGAGATCTCGCCGGAGCTCATTCCGCTACGCACTAATTTGGCGCGGCAGAGGATCCTCGCTCCGGCGACGCGCGTCTGCGCGCAAACTGTAGACGTGCGCGAGCGCCTTCGCTTCCAGATCCCACGGCGGTGGCCGGCACCCTATCCTACCTGCCAACTGTTTTTTAACGAAATATGGAGTTAACTGATTTGCTAATTAAATAATTGCTATGTGCTTTTCAGACTATAATTATATCACTATGTAAAATTTTATTCACGCGAAAAATATCATCATGATCTAATACGACAATTTCTCTCAACATTAATCAAAATCTCCTATTATAGCAATGCGAGTGAAACCGCAAACAGCACTAGTATGTTACATAGTAACTAGAGTGTCCACGTTCATGACCATTGTATGACGTTTCCATTATAACATTATGTGCTCAAGTCATTAGCAGAAGCCAACAGTTGCTAACCGCAAAACCGCTTCTTAAAAGGTGAACTATATTTTTGTTATAGCAGTAATTCTGCTATGTACATATGTTAAAAACAACAGATATTTTTTGAGGATTGTGAATGATTTCTCTTGCCATTTTTCTGTGAGTGGGGAAAACCATCAAATGCCTTTCGATCGCCCAGTGTTGTGTTTGCTCATCGGTATTGCCGAATTCTTACCTGATGGTAAGCATTGATGGCAACCCGGCAACTTGGTTGTTGCCGTAACACATAAAAGACAAAACACACGAAAAATTCAGTCGAATTTCATGAGCTCCTACACAAATTTTTCTTTTAAGCTCAGATTATAGGTTGGATAAAAAAATCATTCCGGAAAAATGCATTAGGCCTTCTAGTCCACACGACTGCACGTAAACGTTAAATCAAGCTACACTAAAACCAATTTAATACTGGTCTCATTTCGTATGAGCTTTCAAAACATTCAGCAGTCAGTTAACACTGGTCATACCAAGCTATACAAAAACCAAATAATACAAGTCTCGTTTTGTACAAGCCTTCAACACATTCAACGGTCAGCTTACACTGGTCATTACAGTTTGACGAGAACCTCTTTTTAAAGTAATAAGAAAACGCTTAAAATGGCTAGTCATGTAAGTAATCAATATTACATAGCATGTACTTACTTACAAGAGAAATTATTTAATTTAGAAAGTGTCACATGTTGTTGGTAACGATTTTCTGCGACAGTGAAATGGCGTCTCTACTTTTAAACATAAGCTTGGACTAGCAACCCAGTTAACGTATCCACCGTGGTAGTTATTTCAAGAGACGTATTGCAGACTCAAAGAAAACTGGCGTTGAACAAAATTTACGTTGTATTTCGACGTGTGGGTGAGGTTACTGGAGGTCCAGTCCTTCTACCCCACCCCCATCTTCAATCCCCAAATCCCCTATCCTTAAATCCCTAATAACCTACAAGAGGTCGGCAACGCACTTGTAGTAACTTCTTAAGTATTGGGGGTGTCCATGGGCGGCGCTGATTGCTTACCATCAGGTGATCCGTCTGGTCGTTTGCCTCCCTATCTAATACAAAAATGGAGTATGGAAATAAACTTACCTTAATTTAAAACATTTATAAAGTTCGTGTCCCTAATAAAATTACTTAATTCAAACAAATTACTTCTCCCGGGAGGGATTTTCAGAAGCTTACTGACTAAAACCCCCTGCCCCCCATTCCCTCCACCTTCCTATCTCCTGCTCTGGGCCGAGGCCGCGGTGACATATTGCGCTTACCCCGCAACCCCGGCTGAACATCAGCCCTTTAGGGCCCCGTCTGTGGTGGTCTATTGGCTCTTTGAGGCGCGCGCGGAACGTTACCTACATGCGAATACGAATAGTCTCTCGTTCCTAGTCTGGGTGTGATGTGTATATGAAATCGTATGTTAGTAAAGATACTCGTGAAAGTGGAAAAAATACTAGGTAGTATAAGTGCAACGGCTTAAAAAAAATCTTGAATGAAAATGAAAGGTTGCAGTAAGAGGAAAGGTTATTTGAGGGGAATTATCAAATGACTTGACACTGGGGCGGGAGGGAGTGTCAGACTCTTACTGACTAAAAACCTCTCCGTTCCTTCTCCTGCTTTAGACCGAGGCCGCGGTGCCTCATTGCGCTTACCCCGCAACCCCGGATATCCTACTTAATTACCTGGACTTAGGAAAGAGAGTATGGAAAGTCACTTGAAACCCAACCTCAGAACAGATAGTTCAGAGAAACCTTTTTCTACAAATTTCTTCGCCAATTCATTCAAACATACATTGCCTAGTAATTCACGTATTTTGTATGACTTGAGAAAGTCTAGATTAATGACATTTTTATGTATGTACATTGTATGGTCAAACATTCATTTGGACAAAGATGTATGTATGTGTTTTGTATGGGTTGTACAATGGAGAAATCGAGTGGAAAGACATACATTCTTATGTACATACATATGTATTGACATGACAATGTTCTTGTTGCCTAGGCACAGGTAGAGAAAATGTTGGCAATATGGTTTTAACGCCTAAACGAAAAATTTACATCACTACATAGTATAAAACAAAGTCGCTTTCTCTGTCCCTATATCCCTATGTATGCTTAAATCTTTAAAACTACGCAACATATTTCGATTCGGCTTTTTATAGATAGAGTGATTGAAGAGGAAGGTTTTTAATTATGTATCATAACATCCATGAAATAGTGCAGAAAATTAATATGTGTCGGAGTGTCGGAATAACTGCACCCGTGCGAAGCCGGGGCGGGACGCTTGTAATGTTAAAATTAAAACATATATTTCAATTAAACCATCATAGGAATATCCTAGTAAAGCTATTTGCTCGTTCCAAAATTTATTTTGGTATGTTCATATCAACTGTAGTCCAAATATTTCCTGAAATAAATATTTAGTAATTGTTTTTTTTATGTAATTGGTTGGCAAACGAGCAGACGGATTACCTGATGGTAAGCAATCAGCGCCGCCCATGGACACCCGGAACGGAGGAGTTACGAGTGCGTTGCCGACCTTTTAGGGATTAGGGATTTGGAGATTTAGGGATTGAGGAGGGATTGGGGGCGGGGAAGGATTGGTCCTCGGGTAATGATGATTCCTGATGATGATTCCTCCTATTTCTTACATTGTCAAACCTACCATACTATTAATCTTATTAATTCTGTTTAAGTATTTAAAATAGTTACAAATACTACCATCTAATGTAAAGTCGTAACACACCGCTGTGTTTGGCCGTGTAAGTGGGGTTACTGATCAATTCCCTAATCTGTGAAACCCTAATCCCCAAAAGCCTGGCAACCCATAACGTGTGCTCATGGACGGAGCCTTACTTACCATGAGGACTACTCCTTTGTCGACCTAGCACATAAAAAAATCGCTTTGGTAACTAATAATTTAAAATTCACTAATTAACCACGTGACTGTAACTTGAAACTATTATAGCTTTTCTCAGTCAATTTACGTAAGTCGTTAATTCCAATGAACATAGCCTGCAAAAATAATTACTATAACTATAAATTTCACAAGCCAACTTCATCTTAATTTCTCAAATTTCTCTTTCTTTCACAGAATCAAGAAAACTCTTTGGCGGGTACAGAATAACGCCAACATATTGCAAGGCATCACGCGCAGCCAAATACAACAGAGGAAACACTATCTGCATGTTCAACCATGAATGCTACCAACGCGGTGGCGAAGTCGTTGGAGCTTGCATGGACGGCTTTCTCTTCGGAGCCTGCTGCCAATTGAAATCAGACAGCCAATCCCATATTCCTAAAGGTCCAGGCATCGTCATGACCAGTTACCTTGACTACCCAGAGGCTACTGAAGGAGACGATTATGATGCAGAAGAATTGAGTGCTCTTCATAACAGTTTCAAACCTGTTGTCACACCAGGCTACAGGCCAGCTGACAAAACTGCAGCTACTACCCTAAAACCAGAGGATTTAAGTACTGAAGCTGAACATGAACTAATTTCTGAAGGTCTTACTCAAATTACTAATACGTTACTAAGCTCTCCTCCTAAGGATAGTAATGGCATTATCTATATGAAACCTAAACCTGATTATTACACTCATAGCAGTATAGACCATGGAGGTCCTGATACAATTCTGGTACACACTAACGGTTCTGTAGTTGATAACGTTGTAAGGCCTTCAGATTTTAATATACAATTGTCGTCAATGCAGACGAAACCGACTGTGACACCAAGTACTTCGACAACGGAGCCTCAAAAAACAATGTCTACGCACAGACCTGTTAAACCGATCTTTAGGCCAAAACCTGTAACTTCAACAGAGAAGTATGTTCCTGTGTCAACAATCACCACTAAAAATACGCAGAGAGTTCCGGAGCTATCGTCTATTAATAGTATAATTCAAATGCTCAATGATAGTACGCCAAGCATGAAAGAAGATGTGACGCCATCTATTGACATTATAGAGACAAAATCATCTCCATCTCCATCATATTCCTACACGTATCCAAGTTTCTCATCAACTGGACATTACGTCACTCTCAAACCAACTTCTCTATCAACGTATATAACTAAAAAACCAACAATGCCAAGCAAGAAGCCGTCCTATGATTATATACATACGACTCCGAACAGCTTGCCGCAAGATGATAAGCCGACGTCTTACTATTCCTCACCTAGTCCTAGTCATTCCACTAGTCAAGCCATTGAAGCTTTTAACAGATATCCCACAGATCCAACAGATTTTGGAGATCTTTCGACTTTCAGCTATGTCAGTTCTACAACTACTCAAAGACCAACAACAAGCAAAAAGCCTCCATCCACTAGCTATGTCACTGGTGCCAGCCCCATTAGAAGACCAGCGGTACCATCGAACGTGGTGACTTATGACGCAGTAGATACTTTCTCAAGCGTAACACCAACTGTCATAGTCCTTAATGACATACACACCACCAAAACGCCTTTAGACGCAGACGAACCACAATTCGTTGAAATATCTCAAGAGCCATTTAAGAAACCTGTAAGTCATATTACCGTAAACAATCATATCGCAGCTACTAACAATATTTATATGGGCAAGCCACCAACTTCATCGTCCCCTACAGTTGTTATAACTCCAAAACCAGGATTGACTACACCTTACCCAATAAAGGGATCAATAGTGACCAGACCACTTCCAATTGTGACGAGCCCAGCTATGGACTATACGGAAGCACCAACGACGAATAAGCCAGAGATGCAAACATCGCCAGATGACTTAATCAACTTCCCACCAGTCAGAAATCCAATGCTCAATGCTACTGGATCAAACCCAGCTCTATACAACACAAGTATTTCACTATCAGATAACGAATTAGATATTCTACACGACGTAGAATTCACAACACCAACGTGGCAGATGGACGATAAACTGAACGAGAAAATGAATGTTTTCGTAAACAAAATCGTTGGTAATCTCCAAGGAACGTTCCAAGAGTTACATGATATAGTAATTCTTGGAAGAAAACCTAACGATACGGCTGTAAAAACGACGACCGTAAAGCCGAAACGGACTCCACCGACGACAAAGCGGCCATTTTTGACGACAACGAAAAGGCCGGTTAGATTGACGACTACAAAAGTCACGACACGACGGCCGACGGTGAAGACAACTAAGAAGCCGGTGCGGCTAACGACGCAGTATCGACGGCCTACCACGACCCAGCCGCCGACCACTACCGCCCCGCCTACGAAGAAACCGGTAAGATAAAGATGATCTTGATATCTTTTAACAGTACCTAGTGATGCCCAGCTTAAGCTGGACGAGATTTATTTGAAAAAAAACTTTGACAGTGGTGGCCTCTAATGTTTAACCGTGGTTGCGGGGTCTGCGAAAGGGGAGATTCTTAATCAGGGCGAGACTAGCACACTCTCGCCTCACTCCGGGTGGGAGAAATCATTTGATGATTTTCCCCTCACAAAAAACCTTATAAGCAATGTTTATGATCGTGGTCAGAGAAGACCACTACACATCTTTGCACTGAACCTCTCGTTCATTTACTGTTACAATCGAAATTCCATAAAATAACTGGTATGCCGTCTTTGTATTCGACCACATTTTACAGGTGACTACCACGAAGAAGCCGAAACCGACCAAGAAAGTGACGACGACCACCCAAGCCGCGACCACCACCACGGAACTGGCTGATGAAGTGACGACGGAGAATTATGTCGAACGACCTATAGATTATAATGACAAGAACTGTAAGTAACACAAAAAGATAAAAACATAAATTCTGAACATGCTCTGTTCTATCTTGTCCTCTCACTCGCATTGTGAGCAGTCTTACTAACCACCGGTTTCCAAAAGGCCGATCAAAGTTAAAATCAATTTAATCTCTTGTCAAGTCAACTGATTGGTTGACTGAATTATCGACAACCAATCAGAAGACTTGACAAGTGAATTAACAGGAGATTCGTTAATTTTAGCGTTGACAGCCCTTTCGGAAACCGGGTGTAACAGAACTAAATTCTTTTTCCAAATTGCAATAACAAAAGAATTGGTGAAAAACAACCTAATAGCAGTATACAAAATGGTTGGTTTTGTCATGCCAGAGTAACATCTAATTACAATTCCAAGTTGTTTAATGAAAGTCGTAAATAGGGATAGGTATTTATATTTGCTGACTATTCCAAAAAAATCTGGCGTATCCAGCAAATATTTACTTAGCACACTCAGAAATATTAACATGAAAATTATTATACCAGCCAAAACATCAGTGCATTTTCTTACTCGAACTTACAATTAGTCATTTTTCTCTATACAAATCTATGCGCGGTTCACAACGACAAAATGCCCAGCTATACTGATCGACCGACATACAGATTTTTTTTCTACGTTTCAAAAGCTCTGGTTTTTTTTTAATTTGAACTTGTGTAAAATTTTCCAGTGTGCGGCGTCCGTCCACTTGCAAAAACAGGGCGTATTGTCGGTGGTAAGAGCGCTAACTTTGGCGAGTGGCCCTGGCAGGTCCTGGTGAGGGAATCCACCTGGCTCGGTCTCTTTACCAAGAACAAGTGTGGAGGAGTCCTCATCACCAACAGATTCGTCACCACCGCCGCCCATTGTCAACCTGGGTAAGTGTATTTTATTAGAAGATAAACAAGAAGACGGTTTACCTGATGATGCCCCCCCAATGGAAAACCACAACTCGAGAAAAGTTAAACTTACTTTGCCGACTTTTTGGGGATTTGGATAGGGGCAGGGCTGGGCCGCTGGTAACCTCACTCACACCGCGAAACACAATGCAATTCCAAAAAAATCGCTTCAATTATCTGCAAACCCGTGGTATCAAGTGTGGGAGAGTCATGCTTTGGGAGAAAAATTGTGTTTCGTCGTGTGAGTGAGGTTACCGGGGGCCAATCCTTCCCCTACCCCAATCCGTTCCCTTTCCAAAAATCTCTAAATCCTTAATCCCTAAAAGGTCGACAACGCACTCGTAACTCCTCCGTCATTGCGGGTGTCCATGGGCGACGCTGATTGCTTACCATCAGGTAATCCGTTTGCTTCCATATATGAAAAAATAACACTCAGATGGATCCTAGCCATTCGTATCGGATCGTTTCACTAATTTTCCTTTCTCTATTTTCCAGATTCCTTGCCTCCCTAGTAGCAGTGTTTGGAGAAAATGACATTTCAGGAGACTTTGAACCCAAGAAACCAGTGTCGAGAAACGTCAGGAAAGTCATAGTCCACCGGTCTTATGATGCTGCTACCTTCGAAAATGATCTCGCATTATTGGAGCTGGAGTCACCTATTAAGTTTGACGCTCATATCGGTAAGCTAGAATCAGAAATATTCTTGTTAAAAACAAATGCTTTTAAATATTATGATTTACTAGCTATTTGTATAAAAGGTTAACAATAGAATTTTTTTATTTTCTGGGATTTTTGAAAAAGAAATCTTTTTGTCCTCGAGGGGGAAGGGAAAGACGCTCAACAGTCATCGTTGTTGTTCCATTCGACAATGAGAGCGCTTTAGCTATGCATCGGGCACTATGCCAGATGATGAAATAAGAATTTCGAAAAAATCCTCAATAGTTCTTGATCTGATTCAAAAATTGAATTATCGACCACTTGCTTGACACACTAAAGTTCGTCTTAAAAAATTGGCCAGTACTTTATGGCGAAAAAACTATGTCGATTATGATCTTTAAAATAAAATACTATCTTTACAGTTCCAATCTGCATGCCACCGGACGAGGCTGACTTCACGGGTCGTGTGGCAACCGTCACCGGTTGGGGACGGCTTAAGTACGGCGGTTCAGTGCCGGCCATACTCCAAGAAGTTCAGGTATTAACATAAGTTGTTATTATTTTAATAAGCAACTTTCGAGCCCAAGTACTTTTTTATTTGCACGATTCATGTTATAAGGCCTATGGTATATGAGATTGATCTTTTCCCGTCCACAAAACACAATCCATGCTATTACTGACATTTTCGAATTACATAAATCACTGTCACTAAACTTGTAGCAACTAGTCAACCAATATAGATGAATGGATACACGAGGGTTTGCTTTTGTTTGAGCAGGGAAAATTATTAATAGACTTTTCCTAATTGGAAAGAGCCTACCTTCTGTAGGCCTGAGGAAGTTTCAGACTCTTACTGACTGAAAACCACTCCGTTCCATCTCCTGCTGGACTGAATCAAAGCTGGAATTGTCTTTAGTGTCATTTCACATGACCCACAACTTTATTGCCATTAGCCAACAAGGCCCCATGTATGAGTTACACTCGACATATTTACGAAATCGCGTAAAATGCACGCGTTCTCATTTCTATTATGCGTTATTATATTGTTAGTATTAATTTATTATTAATACGACTTCAGTTCGCTTTCGGTCATCATGCACACCGCGCGTTCTCATATTTCATACAACGATAGTTTATCTAAATTTAGGACAATTCAGTGAAATTTAATTATATTAAGACTTTCATTTAACTGTCAAATATTAGGATAGCAAGAAAATTCTACACCCCGTGTATGCTGATTTATGGACTCTTTAAGGTCTGGATTGGATGGAAGACTTATTTTTGAGGAGGAGAAATCATCAAATGACTTCTAGCACATAGCGTAGGCCAGATTGTCAGGCTTTTACTAACTAAAATCTATCCTGGTTCTTCTTCTGCACTAGGCCAAGGCTGCGGTAGCTTATTGAGCTTGCCCCACAACCTCGGCTTGGAGGGAAAAGTCTGGAATCTTTCTAAAGACTAATTAACCTCCTATTCTTACACTCCTTATTCCAGGTACCAGTTATAGAGAACAGTGCATGCCAGGACATGTTCCAGACAGCTGGTCACTCTAAGAAGATTCTGAACTCTTTCATTTGCGCTGGATACGCTAATGGACAGAAGGATTCATGTGAAGTAAGTTGGTTGTGTCATCCAAACTAATATTATAAATGTGAAAGTAATTCTGTCTGTCTGTCTGTCTGTCTTTTCTTCACGCCTAAACTACTGAACCGATTTCTTTGAAATTTGGTACAGACATAGTTTGGAGCTCGAGAAAGGACATGGATAGTTTTTATACCAAAATCTGCAGGAAGTCACTATTCAACCGCGAACGGGGTCGCGGGCAAAAGCTAGTTGTATCATAAAGCGACGCTAGCGCCGCGCTTTCTTTGCTCTTTATGAAAACGTCGGAGTCTAAAATTTTGTCCTGTATTGTGGGTGTATACTCGTTAATTACGTCTAGACCCGGGACATTTTGTCAATTCACTGCACGAATTTTTAAAGTGCCTGAATGTTTCATACACTAACGCTCGATACATTTTGCACTGAATTTCAAGAATATTTATCTAGGCATACTAATATAAATAATGGATTTTTTTAAGGTTTTATATTGGGGAAAATTTCTGGAATGGCTGGTCGGATTTCCAAAATTCTTTCATTGATAGATAGCTACAATGTTCTTCGAGCAGCGAGTGAAAATAGCGCGAGAATGACTAGTTAATTATATTCCTTTTGACAGCATTTACATGAATGTACCAGTAAGGATAACCTTTATTTGACAATTCCAGGGTGACAGCGGTGGTCCATTAGTTCTTCAGCGTGATGATGGGAAATGGCAGCTCGTTGGAACTGTCTCCCACGGAATCAAATGTGCAGCACCATTCCTTCCTGGTGTTTACATGAGAACCACGTACTACAAACCATGGCTAAAGAGCATCACAGGAGTCCATTGAATAAATAGTTTGAATAAATTGTTTTGAATAATTAATAGTGAATTCTCCGAAATGAATAACTTATTTGAGGATGAATAAATGTTTTTTTGTGCGTGTGAGTGAATTTATTAGTTGAATTGGGTATACGATTTGAATGATGTTATTTGAAATTCGAATGTATGTGAATGAATGTTTTGTTATTTATTTTGTTCATGCAATGTGTGTGTTATTTTATTAATTTTATTCTTTTTCTCATCGTGAAATTATTCTTTTGATAAATTATTTCACAAAATTTTGTGTGAATTAAATGACTATTTCTAAAAAGTATTATCGATTTTGTTAAAAACATTATTTCTATTCATGTAAATTATTAATGAATAATATATAATTATAATTATAATCTGGAATTTGTATAAAAAGTTGCAGCTCTCTATGTAAAGTTGTAAAATAACTGTAGTTCTGAAATGTTTAATAATTTTAATTTTGTTTTAATATAATTATTAATTGAGCCTCGATTTATAGTCAATTATAATACGCTGTCCAATATTATAAAAAATAATTAACAATACCGAAACTAAAATTATTTAATAAAAGTTAAAATCAAATCATCAAATTATAAATAAAATATTGTATATTGTCCTAGCAAAATAATAATTAGCTCCTATTGTAAATTATAAAAAGAAAATGCATTTATTTATTGTTATTAATAGATTTAAATTTTAGTATTTAAGACTGAATAAAATTGTAGAAATTATAAATTATTTGTTATTAGTAATTTATATTTTTGAATAATTATACATATAATATTTTTTGGGCTTTTTCTTGTATTTTGCTCAAGTAGTGCAGTATTTTTATTGATTACCACGATACGGGCAAAGTGCGTGTAATTAGTATTTTTAAACCAAGTATTACTTATTTATTAAGCTTAAAAATTATTTAATATGTTATATATTTAGATTATACATTATATACAATTTTAATCTCTTTATAGTCTATCAGATTTATAAAATTACAAATCAGAATATAGCTCACCAATTATAATCGCAAATTCATTTTTATAATTTCGATAATAATTATATTAATTTGTTTATTTTATGAATAACCTACTGTGGTATAAGAGTTACCTATGTTTTCATTATTATAATAATAACCGTTTGAAATATTGATATTATAATAATATTTTACGCATCTATTTATTTATTTATTATATTGTAATTGTTTATTTATAATTTATAATTTTCATTATATATAAGTAAATACATTTTTCTATGATACTTACTGTAGCAAAATCAAACTATTATTTTTATATTTTCCGCGAACTCTGCCCGTTATAACCATGCAAGAGAGAGAAATATTAAATAAAATGCTCAATTAAATTTAGGAGAATGTTAATATTGACAGTTATGCATTTATTAAACATTTTAAGTTAAATATTAATGAAGTTTTATTTTTAACTTGGTCAAACTTGTTTACCCGTATAGAGGAAAGGTTTTTTCTGTTTCTGCCTGATCCTGGGCGTTTGATCAGTCATGATTTAAGAGTCTTCAAGGCGAGAATAAATAGGCTCTTAATAAACTAGTGCGCTTTGCCATCAACGATTGCATCACTGCTTACCATCAGGTGTGGGATAGCAGTCCAGCACTAGTTTATATGACTAAAAATTTTATAGGTCTTGTAACCTCCTACACAATAATATGAATATCAGGAACATATTCTAAATTATATTCTAAAAAATAAAAAAATGAAATAATGCCACATAACATATTTATTGCACATAAGATTAAAGCATATAGATTAAAATACATTTTTTTTTTTCGTACATTTTGTTTCTATTTTATAAAGCCTAATTATACGTATTTTATTACAGTTATGATTCATATGAACAATGTTTTATAATTATAAGCTGATCGTAGATACAATATAAATACCAGAATTTATGTAACATTACAGAAATTCTGATAAGATTTAAATACATAATACATATTTTAATAAAATACAAATTTAATATATATTATTCCAATTAAATATCAAAAATGTAACTTATTAAATAGAAGTGTCAACAAACAAAAAGTGGAATATAAATAAAATCAGAGATCCAAATCAAAACTACAAAAATATGACATTGTTTCTTAAAAATATCAAATTACATCTTATTTTTAACACATTTGGAAACTTTTTTTTCTTTTAATATAAGCCTCAATTATATTTTATATGTGATATTTTATATATATACATTATAACGTATAAAGATTGCTACTGCATTTTAAATGTTTGTTTTTTTTATTGATAGTGCACAGCAGTTTTTTTTTTACTATTTCTATATTATATTTTATGAATGTGAAGAATTATACTTAAGTCTACATTCAAATATTTAAATACATATTTTTTTATAATTCGAATAACAATTTTGAATAAACACATATTTATGCTAAGTAATAATTATTTATGCATTTTTATAACAATAATTTTCTACATTTTTTTTATTCTAATATTATAATATTTGTATACTTATTATAAGTACGATATATCACGAAATTTCAAATATATAAGCATTAATTTTACTCGCGCTACGCATATTCGATTACAACTTCTACATTTTTTAATGATTATATTATATTAACTATAAATAACGGTCTATAGGTTTTAACAATCTTAAAAATTTTTTGTTAATATTATAATAAAGATTAAAATATAAAATGATATAACGGTAATGATATTTATACAGAATAATAATGATTATCTATTATAAGCAAATTATTGTGCAGTAACTTAAAATTATAACATACTTATCCCACACCGTTGATTTATAATATGAATGAATAATTTACATGATTTATTCTGTATGTTCATATATTATGTATTGTTCAAAAATTAATAAGTCTGTAATCATAATTATAATTAACAATAATTTTTTAGATGTTTTAACTGTGTTACTTATAATTAACTTATTATGTGACACGGCTTACTCGTGTAAGATTTTTCGATAAGTTTGAGTCGGTAGCGCCATCTGCATTGGTAGTTAAGAAAGTTGTTTACAATTATGGCCTCCAGGCGTGCATTGAAATTAATCGAGTAAACCGTATAAGTAAACCAATTTAATGTTTCTCAGAATATTTATAATACGAATACAGTAAACATTTTTATGAATTAATTTGTTCATTGATAATAAGGAGTTATCACAAACTAATAATATTAAAAAATTTTGACTGAATAAGGGCTTATTTTTCAATAGTCAGATAAATGTTATCTGAGGAATTGTTGCTGTCACTGTCTTATACAAACATTCTGACGCGACAGCAAGATAATTATTCCCTGAATAACTTTTTTCTAACCATTGAAAAATCAGCCCTAAAGACCGAATTACAGCGAAATTACTTTGAAATCTTTCCCTTGTAATGCAAACATTTTTTGCAAATCGCGTCGGCTTTATCTTTAATCGTTTGAGTAGACATGGCCCTCTCGGATTCAGGTTTTGGGTCCTCTCCCTCGAATGGACCCTCACTAAACTGTTGGATCAACCTCTTGATGTAACTCCCAGGACCTCTTATAGTCAACTTTGTGTTACAATCCTCGGCTTTCTCAACAGTATTCTTATATTCACTCAACATTTGGAGGCCATCTTGGAAATTTTCAAACGCTTGCGTTATTTTATCGCCAATGTTCAATTTCTCTTCAATTTCGCTGTAGTTCGATTTAGCTGCCGACAATTCTTCAGCTACATCTTTAGAACTAGTTGGAGTAATGATTATTTCATTATTTTTAACGTCAATTGTTATTTTAGCGTCATCTAGCGACAAGCCAGCGAGTGAGACGTCCACGGATTTCGATCTGTATTGCCTAGATGGCGCTAGTGGTACTTGAAGTTGGTTTGTTTCGGAGTGTTCTTGTTTGTGTGTACCAATAGATGTCACTGGTGATGATGAGATTGAAGACTTGTCACCGGGACTGGATCCTGGATTTTAATTGACTTTTAAAAGAAAGAAAATTTTAGTTTTAATTATTTTATAGTTGTTGAGTAGAAATTTGTTACAAGGTATAGTTTTTAGTCCCGGAACCTATCCTATATTAGAGACCCGCCACCTTAATACTTTTGAAATATTACCTCATTTATAGCATTGCTGCTTTAATGTCTGTCATTGCCCCTAAAACAAATTCATTTATCATTACTATTTTACCACAACATATTTTTATTTAATAAGCTAGACGGGCACTCTAGTTGGGCCCATTGGTATCGAAACGCTCCTCAGAGTAAAAGCGACCATACGAATGACAAGCGATCAGCGCAGCCCATGGAGACCAACAATAGAGGAGTTACAGACGACTTTTAAAAAGTAACAGGCACGTTTCTTGATAGGAAACACGAAGCTAAACTAAGTTTGGAATGTTCTTATATTTCTCAATATAATCTACCCACCGTTTGAGTTATCCTCTCTCTCGTCCTCACAGCACTGTGGCAAAGACTGTTCCACCATCATACCCTGCACCATATCCATGCAAGAGTCCAGAGAGAACTTCTTCCCACACATCTTGATCCCTCGGATGCGCCGGCGCATTTCTGTTAGTAGGTTAGTAAAGTTTTGATGTAAGCATAAGTTTTTATGAGTTAAGTTTTGGATGAAAGCATGTAATGCATCCAATTAAAGAGAAAGAGCCAAGAGTAAGATAGAAAGGTTGCTCTTAACCAAAAAAAAAGTTAAATAAAGAGTTCATGATGAATTGTAATAAAGGAATGCAATGCAAAATCTTTATATATAAAAATGGATCGCAAAATGTGTTGGTAAGCGCATAACTCAACAACGCCTGGACCAAAGTTGCTAATTCTTTTTTGTTGTGTTTGTTATTGTCAGGAGAAGTTTCTTATCAAAAAAAGAAAATATTAGAAAAGTAGAGGAGAAGATTAGGAAAAAGTGATCCTTTGATAGCGAGATAGTTGGACCCGAGCGAAGCGGGGGCGGGCCGCTAGTAATATTATATAGACGGACGTTATGCCATATCCATTTTCACCAGTCGAACAAATGAATTTAAACCTAGTATTAAAAAGAATAGGATGAATATTTAAATAAAAGTCTAAAACTAAAATGTTTACTTACTAAAAAAAAATAAGTGAACAAATAAACATTTATCAAATTATCACAAGCCCAGCGTACCCACACACTATAGCTACGCCACCACATTAAACCCAGAAAGTCAGCCAATCAAACAAGAAAACCAATTCCAAATCGAAATAAGTAGCTGAAGAACTGACTAACCAAAAAGGACTTACCAGGACTGTCCTTAGGTTCCATTTTCAGTTGAGCGAAGGTCTGAGCACAGGAAGTCAGGACCTGTTCGTAGTCGCAGATGGCAGCGTGGGTGCCGTTGACAATCTTAGGGCTCATGGGGCTGTTGGCGAGGAGTAAGCTGGTCCCGAAGGTGGCATTCAGCTCGCGAGTTTCTGCAAACAGATTCATGGAAATAAGGTTACTAGATTTTGTGGTTTATTTTTTGTCTACACCAATCACGAGGCGTACTTTACCAAAACATTTTTCTTCATTTATGAATGTTAGCCCATATCATTTTTTCTTATTTAGGTTTATATTTTACTTTGATAAATACTGTTGTCCTATGTTTATTGGAGTAGTTATAATTTCTATATATTTGTCGGTACAAACGCATAATTTTAAGAATGTTGGTTAGCTCGTAACTGGCTAATGTATAACCTATAACGAAAACTTTTACTACTTTGTGTACATAAGTTGTATAAATATAACTATTCGGTTGCTTAAGCAAAGCTTTACCAGTTTCAAGTCACACCGGGGCTCATAATCGGGACGTTAGTTGTGTATTTCAATTAGTTTAGGATGTTAGGAAATGTGTATGATCTGATTCTGTGATTATATATCAGATGAGCTGTGGTTATTTACATGTTTAACAATCACACTTGACCTTTGTGGTTAAAAACTACCAATAATATAGACAAAATATTTATTAAAAAGCCTATCACACAATCACACATTCCACACACGAGCCCTAAAAACCAAAATCAAGGCATCAAAAATCAACCAAAAAGTTTTTATTAACTACCCAAACACCGACACCAAGCCACATTATGGAAAAAACCAACAAAAATATAAGATTACCGACCCTTCAAAGAAATCCTGGGTTTCTTAGGCACCGCGATGTTACCGTTTTCTGAACCAAACACATCCATCAAGATCTCCTTAGCAACAGTCTTAATCTCGTTCCAATCATCTGTAATTACAGGAAAATTAAGTGGTTTGTATAAAAACATTTATTTCAAATTTCACAATAACATTAAATATCAAAAGCTGTTTGCTCGTTCCAAAGTGTAGATGCCTATGAAGAAGACAAGAAAACTCAAAAAAAAAGAAAAATATTTTTTTACGGAATTAGCTACTGGGACCGCGGTCCGAGTATCTGTGGTCCCAGTCGCCGGAAGCCTCGAAGCTCCATGGTTACTCTTTTTAAGTCAATTCCATTATTTAAGAAAAGAGTAGAACAAATTTTTGAGGCAAGTGCAACACAACAAAAACGTATCTATCATCTAGTGTAATCTATACTAATATTATAAAGAGGTAAAATTTGTAAGTTTGTATGTAGGGGGTAATCTTTGGAACCGCTTGTCGGATTTCCAAAATTCTTTCACTGATAGGTAGCTACAATGTTCCTGAGTGCTATAGGTTATAAAACATCACGCTGCAATCAAACGGAGACGAGCAGCGAGTGAAACCGCGCGGGAATAGCTAGTGTTCTATATATCTAGTCTAACGCTCAGCATTTATCACTATGCTTAGTGATAAATGCTGAGCGTTAGACATTCAAGGCAAATTTCAAAATTATTTGAAATTAAAAGTCCTTGTTTCCTTACTCTGTTTTCCTTTACTAACACCCGGTTTCGGAAAGGCCGATCAATGTTAAAATCAATTAAATCTCTTGTCAAGTCATCTGATTGGTTGACTGTATTATCAACAACCAATCAGATGACTTGACAAAGGTCTTACCAGGAGATTGGTTAATTTTAGCGTTGACAAGCCTTCCAGAAACCGGGTGTCAGAGATTTATTAATTTTTCAAACTCTTGCTGGGAAAACGAGAACCTTAATGTCAGGTACTAAATATTTTCAATGCCACTAAAATGTATGAAGCTCTTACCCAAGATATCCTGGTTGGTAGTCCTCGACGAGGTGACCGTGAACCTGATGACGTAGATTCCCTTGAAGCAGGCTGGCACGGCGTGCATGTAGCCGCGAGCGTTCAGACGTTTGAGAAGTCTTTCAGTCAAGGCATTGTCGCCTTTGAGGCGAAAGGCTACCATGCCTGTAAAAGTTTGTTAAAATAAAAAACTTTTTTAATACAGAAAGTAAAATGTTTCATATTCACACCAAGCGAACGCCGGCGTTCGAACACCTGTTGCTCTTATTATAACTTTCGTGAGACATTCAAAATTATTGCTATGCTAGAGGCCCATATTCATGAGCAGCATTCCGCGACACGCGACTCGGCGACTGTCGCGCTGCTACTGTAGCAATAATATGGGCCTCTAGCATAGCTTGAAACTAGTCGAGTATCTCGTCAAATTATTACGTGAGTAAACCGAAAACATAATAATTAACTTCTTAATATACAACACAAACCGTTAAAAATCCTTAATCCACCAAACCCCAAGCGAACGCCGGCGTTCGAGCATCTGTTGTTCTTCTATTGTGTCTCAAATTACCACGATTGAAAGGTTAACAGACTTTTTAGTAGATTTTTTTAACAAATAAGCTGATTATCTGATTGTAATAAATCCTTGCCGCTCATAGATGCCAGTCTTCATAAGAGGAGGTACAAGCTTTCTTATTTTATCAATGGCATCTATGATGAGAGGATATATTATAAAAACATCACATTTATTTTGGTAATTTTTGATAATGTTACCAAATTTCATTCTAGAAAATTTCGAGATTATTTGGGGGAAAATCGGCGCTTTCTCGAGCTAGTGGTGATTGAGAGCGACAAACCATTCCAAACTGACTTGACAAACAAAATTACGAACCCAAGTTCCTCGGTTGAGGTATTTCAAAGCGCTGATCAGCCAGAACCAGAGCCTCAAACTTCTGCGCCAGACGAACACCCTGGAGAAATAAAAAGAAATTTTTTCATTATCATATCATCACCATTATCAGCTGGAAGACCACTGGTGGACCAAGGCTCCCCCTTAGTTCTCCACGCCGAAAGACCACTCGCTACTCGCATCTATTGATTCCCTGCAACTCTGAAGAGGTCGCCCTTCCATATACATTATAACTCTTCGGAAATTCAAGAGGACGGACAGTAGGTTTGGTCACAAAATAAGTAGTTTTATCATGACCACATTGCTAAAAGATATGCGACCCTAAGCACATCGAAGTTGCTTACATCTACCGTAAAAAATAACCAACCGAAGGTAGCTGATATAGTAAAAAATAATTTACAAAGATCCTAAACTAGGTACAGAGAAAACCTTATCAAAAAGTAAACCAATTAAAATATGTAAATTTACGACCGCAATGAACTAGTAGCTAAGGTTTAAAAAAAAGATGACCTTTGCTTAAATAGGAATTCGTCCCTAGCTTCAGAAATAAAAAAAAAACTCTTACACTAAGTAACTAACTCTTGCTATAAACAATACACATTGATATTTTCACACACCTAGACCAGGGAATAGTTGTGGATCAAGCAAAATTTCGGGTTCAGGATTTGGCTACGAAATAACTTGGTAAGTACAAAGTTGTCCAAATACAGCACTAACCGTTAAATAAAAGTAATAGAAGAGAATTGAGCTTTAGCTAGCTTTAACAAGAACTCATAATTGGAAGACGATCACCACATATTATAACATAGTATAAAACAAAGTCACTTTCTCTATTCCTGTATCCCTATGTACGCTTAAAATCTTTAAAACTACACAATGGATTTAATTGCAGACTTTGTTGATAGACAGAGTCATTGAAAAGGAAGGTTAGTCTATACTTTACTATATCTATACTAATATTATAAAAAGGTAAAATTTGTAAGTTTGTATGTAGGGGATAATCTTTGCAACCGCTGGTCGGATTGCCAAAATTCTTTCACTGATAGATAGCTACAATGTTCCTGAGTGCTATAGGGTAAAATGTCACGCTAGAATCAAATAGAGCCAAGCAGCGGGTGAAACCGTGCGAACCGCGCTAGTAATGTACCTTATAATAACATCCATTAAATAGTAGCAAAATTTTTATCAGCATTACACGTGTGCAAAGAGCCCAGGTGTTTTAAATAAAAATAAGGTTTTTATAACCTCAATATCTTACCTCACGAATATGCTTCTGTATGCCAGAAACACCATAATTACGGAGCACAAACCACAGCTTCAAGGCTCGGAAACGACGACTCAGAGGTATTTGCCAATGCTGTAAAAAAGAACAATAGATTAAAAACTAACACAATATTTTCGAGTCCACTTGAAGAACTACAAAAAGCGTTATTTCATCATATTCTTCTGAAGAAGACAATCATCAAATGACTCCTCCTGTCCTGGTTAGGGAGAGAGAAGATAGACTCTTACTGACTAAAAACCACACGGTTCCCTCTTCCGGGGTTGCGGGGTAAGTGCAATGAGGCACCGCGGCCTCGGCCCAGAGCAGGAGAAGGAACAGGGGGTTTTTAGTCAGTAAGAGTCTGACACTCCCTCCCGCCCGGCCCTGGGCGGGAGAAGTCAGTTGATGATTTTCCCCTCACAAAAAAAAAACTGTTCCCTCTTCTGAGGGCCTACTATGACGTGTTAAAGCAAGAATTCGGTCGAGAAAGAGGGATGGAGCTATGCAACTTTTAGAGCTCCATCTCTCTTCCTCGCCCGAAAGATTCACGCTTAAACACTTCATGGTAGGCCTACTGGTCCGAGCCGGGGATGCCGTACAATTTTATGCTAGGTTTTCACACCACCACCATAAGCACCTTTATCGACGACAGCTTTTATCTCGCAAGAAATGAGAACTAGAATGGCATTATGTTAACTAAAAACACCTACTGTACGCCAGTTAATCTTAAGGGCATTAAAAATGCTTAGAAAGATAGAAAGAAAAAAATATTATTACGAAAAATAATTTCCTTTTGCCTAGATCAAGAACAATCGTCGTTAAACATAAAAATTCCCATCACCATACAATCCCGCCACCAAAATCACCAGTCGATTCAATCAATAGATCTCTTACTAGCATCTCCTTCTTATTAGGGTCTTCCAGTTGGATCTGATCGCCACAACCTTGGGATATTTTGTTGTAACCATGAAGGGTGCCGTCGTCATCATCACCGTTAAAACCGCCATTTTCGTTATCACCATTTTCGTTATCGCCATTTTCGCTATCCCTATTTCCGTTATCGCTATGTCCGTTATCACCATTTATGCCATTATCGGCTTTTGGTGTTTGTAGTTCTATAACTTTATGGTTTGAATCTCCATTGATGGTGATAGTCGGATTATCAGCTCCTTTGATGATGTTATTAATTTTTCTAAGCGGTTTTTTCTTGATGTAAGTTTGTTTGTCGCCGACCTAGTATTTGATGGTTTTAAAAATTAATAATAATAAAATATTTTGTTCAATAGGTTACACATACCTTCCCAACATCTCTTGGATTTACAATTTAATTTGTAGCTTTAAAACATATTATAATAAATCTCCACTATCATAAAAATGACAATCGTATTTTTGACAATGATTGTCCCAATAATCATTATTTTGTTTTACATTACTCATTAAGGGTCTGTCTTACAAAGTCTGGATAGCCACCAGATACTATGTGCCAGATAAAAATAGTATGACATGTGCAGCACATAAGTTTATTGGGAACTTTAATATGAAAGTTTCATAATGGAGAAAAAGTAACTAAATACATACCATGTAATCAATCGCTTTTCCTGAAACCAAAGAAAAAAGTTTTAATTTGGTTTTAAAATCAATGTTACCTATACATATTATAGTGTCTACAACGAATGAATAAATTTGAAAAAAGAAAAGTTTGTTTATTTTTTTAATGAGTACTGTAGGGTATATTAAAAACTATAAGTATATACTTATATTCAGTTTATAAATACTTTTTATTTTTCACAGAGCGTCAGACTCTTATTGACTAAAAACTCTCCCGTTTCCTGTCCTGCTCTAAGCCGAGGCTCATCCATGAGAAGCGGGCGCCTTAACCTCCGAGCCATCACGACCTTTCCTCTTTAGGCGTAATTCATTTACAATTATTAATTATTATTAATAAAGACTTCTTCTCTTACCTGAATTCTCGTGCCTCAAATATATGGGGTTCACGTTAAAAGTTCTGTGAAGAGCAGTGCTGTCTTTCACCCTGTCAAAAAAATGATTAATTAATAAACTAAAGTACCCCATCATACAAAGTAGTCTTAAATATATTGAAATGGATCTCTTAATTAAAACAAGGCACAGTTTTTTAGTTTGAAAAAAAAATTAAGTTAACTCTTGAAAATGGGCCTCGCGCGTAGCTTGAAACTAATCGAGTTCCTCGTTAAAGAATCTCGTGAGAAAACCGTTAATAAAATTGTGTCATAAGAATTACTATATAATAAAAATGTAAATTAAGTTTTTGTGTCTTATTATAAACAACAACAAAAAATATCTCATTCTCTTTTTTCATCTCTTCTGGTTAAAAAAGGCTTTTCTTTAAGGGGGAAAATCATATTATCATTACTTCTCTCACCCTAAGAGAGCATATCAGAATTACTGACTAAAAACCCCCCTGTTCCTTCTCCTGCTCTAGGCCGAGGTCGCGGTGCCTCATTGCGCTTACCCCGCAACCCCGGCTGAACATCAGCTCCTCCACCACATGGTGATCTAATTTCTAATGCTTACCACATAGCAGTACAATCGAAGTTGACCATCAGCCATTTGGAAGGGTTGAAAGCGAAGGAATCCGCCAGCTCCACGCCATCTAACCAGTGTCTACAAATAACATGAAATAAATTAGATATATCATTGCTTTGCAACTAAAATTTATCCGACTATTGAAAAATCTGCCCTTAAATGGTTAAAAAGAAAAGAAACATCTGTTTGACCTAAAAACAATGATTCACTATAACATGTTCATGTTCATGTGGGAGAGCCATGCTTCGGCACGAATGGGTCGGCTCGACCGGAGTGATACCACGGTCTCACAGAAAACTGGCGTGAAATAACCACAGCGTTGTGTTTCACTGTGTGAGTGAGGTTACCGGAGGCCCAATCCTTACCGTACCACAATCCCTCCTCAATCTTTAAATCTCCAAATCCCTAATCCCTAAAAGGTCGGCAACGCACTCGTAACTCCTCCGTTGCGAGTGTCCATGGGCCCATGGGCGGCGCTGATTGCTTACCATCAGGTTATCCGTCTGCTCGTTTGCCGACCTCCTACATAAAAAAAAAGAAAAAAAAAACATACAATTACAGTATGAAACCAAAAACTCACTCAATCTGGTGTCAACGTCTGGTCAAGTTCAATACCTCCCGGAGGCACGGCCATATTTATTTTTATTATTTATATAATCAAAAACATAGTTCTAAACCAACCTTCCTTAATTGTAGAACAATAAAATCAATCGGACATGCATTACTAGAAATTTTAAACGTCATTTTTATCAACCACGTTTAATATATCGAAGCTGATAAGTAAATGATTCGGTACGAATCTGTCAGCTGTATCTAGCATTGCATGATTAGGATTCTAAGTGTGAGAGAGCCATGCTTCGGCACCAATGGGTCGGCTCGACTGGAGTGATACTATGGCCACGCAGTAAGCCGGCGTAAAACTACCACAGCGTCATGTTTCGCCGTGGGAGTGAGGTTACCGGAGACCTAATCCTTCTCCTCCCCTAATCCCTAAATCCTCAAAATCCTAATCCCCAAAAGATCGGCAAGGCGCTCGTAATTTTTCCGTTGTAGCGGGTGTACATTGGCGGCGCTGATTGCCTACCATCAGGTACATACGTCTGCTGCTAAAAAAAAAAAAATCAGCACCAGCGCGACTGCCGCCGCGTCGCGTGTCGCGGAATGCTGCTCATGAATATGGGCCTCTAGCATGGCTTGAAACTAGTTGAGTTCCTAGTCAAATAATTACGTCAAATAATTAAAAAAATCCTTTGATATTGCTATAGGGCGTCCCTGTATGGTGTGCATTGCTTACCATCAGGTAATCGGTCTGCTCGTTTATGAATAAAACCTACCTATACTCAGGGCACGTGAAGGCACTGCCCGCATACGCTGCATCCACGTGCAACCAAGCACCATGCTTCTCACATACTTGTCCGATCTCCCGAAGATTGTCGAATGCCACTGATCCTGTAGTTCCAAGAGTAGCACATACCTGGAACAAATAATTAAATGAATTTTTTTTTTTTTATTGATAGGTCGGCAAACGGGCAGACGGATTACCTGATGGTAAGCAATCAGCGCCGCCCATGGACACTCGCAACGGAGGAGTTACGAGTGCGTTGCCGACCTTTTAGGGATTAGGGATTTGGAGATTTAGGGATTTAGGGGGGATTGGGGGAGGGTAAGGATTGGGCCTCCGGTAACCTCACTCACACGGCGAAACACAACGCTGAACATAACTAAAGTGTGGGAGAGCCATGCTTCGGCACGAATGGATCGGCTCGACCTGAGTGATACCACGGCCTCACAGAAAACCGGCGTTAATCAACCTCAGCGTTGTTTATCGCCGTGTCAGCGAGGTTACCGTAGGTATAATCCTTCCCGCTCTCCCCATCCTTTCCCAATCCTTAAATATCCGACACCATTATCCCCTAAATGGCCGGGAACCCCTTTGCTGTTGCGGGTGTCCATGGGCAGCACTGATTGCTTACCATCAGGCAATCCGTCTGCTTGTTTGCCGACCTATCCCATAAAATATGACAAAAAATTAAAGCTTTCATTTCATCAAACACCAAGCGAACGCCGGCATTCGCACACCGATAGTTCTTCTATTCTGTCTCACGATTGATAGGTTAATAGCTCTCAGCCAAGCCTTCTCACCAGAGAAGCCTTGAGCATTAACCACCATGCTTGCTCAAGGTGAATTGGTGATTTCAAACTTATAACTAGACATTATAAATTTAGATTTTTATCATCGCGTTTTTTCTTTCAACGTTGTCCCTTTAATCTAAATTATAAATTCTGCATAGTATGTTTGCATAAATTTCTTAAAAATAATGTAACGACTTATTCGTGTGTATTAATTGAGAAATCCTCTACTACTCATGAATAAGAGTATGAAGGCACGTTTGGTGCGGTTGGCTGGGCGACTGGATGCCGCGCAACGTGTCGTGGGTTCGATTCCCGCACGGAACAACTCTTTGTGTGATCCCCAAATTATTGTTCCGGGTCTGGGTATCATGTGCATGTTAAATTGTATATTTGAAACCGCACCCACGACACAGGAGAAAATCCTAATGTGGGGCAACGTTTATAAAACAAAAGAAAAGAGGAAAGAAAGAAAGAGTCCCGTTGTTACTTGAAACTAGTAGAAATTTTCTCATTTGTTTTTATAATAACTATCGTGAGACATACTAAATTAACTAAAATTCGCGGGTTACTCACGTGTAAATGTTGAGAAAAGCTCTACTAGTTTCGAACCACAGAGGGGTTCTTCCTCATGAGCAGCGTGCGCGGACGCGGCGACGTCTGCGCCCTCAAAACCCAACACCACCAAAAATATACGGTTTGCCCAAAATCCACAAACCAAACTGGCCCCTAAGACCTATAGTCAGTCAAATAGACGCACCTACCTACAACCTGTCGCGTCATTTGGCTACTATACTGCAACCATTTACCGGTAAAACGGACTCCTATGTGAGAGACTCTCGCCATTTCGTCGCCTTACTGGCCGATGTTCACCTCCAAGACACAGAGATGATGATGAGTTTCGACATAACATCGTTGTTCACAAATGTACCAGTAGAAGAAGCAACTTCGATTATCACCAACATACTGAAGGATACTGATTTACCTACTGGATACATTGCGTGTGTGAATCATTGTCTCACTACAGGTTACTTCCTGTGGAGAGGGGAATACTACCTGCAGGTAGATGGAGTGGCTATGGGGTCGCCACTGGCGCCAGTGGTGGCTAACATCTTCATGGAGTGGTTTGAGGGTCAAGCCTTGGCATCCGCCCCGGTAAGACCGCGATACTGGTGGAGGTACGTCGATGACGTATTCGCAATCATCAACCGGGAACATGTAGCTGAATTTGTGGGACACTTGAACTCAGTGCACGGCAGTATACAATTCACCACTGAAGAAGAGAGAGAAGGGATGTTGCCGTTCTTGGATGTCCTCGTAAGACGAGAAGAAAGTGGTCGATTGTCACACACAGTGTATCGAAAACCGACACACACAGACCGATACTTACGAGCTGACTCACATCATCATCCCTCCCACCTAGCCGCTGTCCCGCGGACTTTGATAAACCGGGCGCTGAGTCTATGCGATCCACAGTACATTGACGACGAACTTCACCATTTAAAAAGGGTACTGGAGAACAATGGATACAACTGGCGTCAATGTACTCGACTAGCGAGCAGCTCGAGTAGGAAGCGACCAGCAGTTGCGGAGCGGACTCCAGCGTTCTTACCATACGTGAAAGGAGTAACCGACAGAATCGGAAACCTGCTGCAACGTAAATATAGCATCAGGACGATCTTCCGCCCACCCGGTCAGCTGAGACAACTGCTACGCTCGCCAAAGGATAAGGATCCACTAGCTGTGCCCGGTGTGTACATTATACCTTGCGACTGTGGCTCAAGTTACATCGGAGAAACTCGGCGCAACATCACAACCAGGCTAAAGGAACATATACGTAGCGTGAAGAAGATGGACATCCAGGCATCGGCTGTGGCTGAACATGTTTGCGGCACGGATGCGGCTCACTTCATACGTTTTGATAAGGTCTCCGTACCGTACTAGCGAGGGAGAAATACTTCGTTCCGCGAAAAGTGCGAGAGGCCATCGAGATTAGCCGACGTCCGTGCTTCAACAGGGATGGTGGCTGGGCATTGCCACCCGCGTGGAAGCCGAGCTTGGAGACTACGTCGGTCCGAAGCGTATCCAGTCTGGAGTGTGACACAGTAAGCGTCATATGTAACACAGACTTTGTGCCGGGCCCGGAATTGAACCCACTACCTGCGCCACTGGTGAACGTACCGTGCGCCTCAACATCGTCACACGCGCCGCCGCCGGAGATGGCAGCAAACGCGCGTGGTATCCGGCAGATGGCGCGCTGGACTCGCCGCAGCGCAACCATCAACAGCGATGCAGGCGCCAACGCTAACCAGTAGGCTGCGCGACGTCGCCGCGTCCGCGCACGCTGCTCATGAGGAAGAACCCCTCTGTGGTTCGAAACTAGTAGAGCTTTTCTCAACATTTACACGTGAGTAACCCGCGAATTTTAGTTAATTTTCTCATTTAATACACGTTAATAAGTCGTCACTTTAAATTTTTCGATGTCTGATAGTTGTTACAATTCAAAAACGCATTTATAACGCAATAATTGCTTCTACTTTCCAGGTTTCGACGCACCCTTATGCATAAAAAGTGTGCCTGAACCTTCTTGCCACTACAACCAGGCTTGCAAAGGATGTCAAAGTTCATTAGAGCCAGCCGCCACCCACCCTGCACTGCTTCGTCACAAGACTTTTTCTCAGTGTCGTCAATTAGGTCAGGTTATCACTACATAACGTCCCGCGGTCAACCAGTGGAACCTACGCGCTCCACCGAGCCACCGACTGGTCCACCCACCATCCACGTGTGTTGCGGGGTAAGCGCAATGAGGCACCGCGACCTCGGCCCAGAGCAGGAGAAGGAACGGGGGGTTTTAGTCAGTAAGAGTCTGACACTCTCTCCCGGCCCACCCTGGGCGGGAGAAGACATTTGATGATTATCCTCTCTCAAAAAAAAAAAACACCTGCTGTGTAAGGTTTAAAACCCAGGCGATCCTGTGGTGGTGTCGACGTAGTGAGTGCGTGCCCATAATATAAGACCATGTAAAGAAAACTAGCTGCGGAAGACGAATCGGTGAAGAGTGCCTGGAGGCTCTAATAACTGTGACTTTTAATCTTTTAAATATGCTCTAAATTCTGCCTCGCCCCTCCCTTCCATTCCCGGGACGCATGAGTATCCCATATCTTTAAGCTTATTTAATATAAGTACACCTAGTAACTACGTAACGAACAGAATGCACTTACTGAGCTAATCGCACGGAAACTTGACTTTATTAAAATTGGATCGAAACTTGAGAGCATTAGAGATCATTATTAGTTGACAACGATGTTGTATACTGGAAACGGCTTACCTATACTAATTAATCTAAAGGTACTAATATTATAAAGAGGTAAAATTTGCAAGTTTGTATGTAGGGGGTAATCTTTGGAACTGCTGGACGGATTTCCAAAATTCTTTCACTGATAAATAACTACTATGTTCATGAGTGTATAGGCTATAAATTAAACTTGATTTGCGTATTTTTCTATTTTATAAAAAATCCCGGAACACACACATACACATACGCGTGCGACGCCGCGCCGCGGGCATAAGCTATAATTTCATATACCTAATTATAAGATTATATGAGAAGTTATGATATAAGGATAACATATAAATATGAGAAGTTTAAAGGTTGGTTTCACAATGATTTTATGAATTATCAAAATTTATTGGTTTTAATCCAATTTTAATCCAAAATTCAAAGAGTATTGATTTGATATTTATAGAAAAATGTATCCCACTCTAAGATTTTCATCCATAATTATATTACTGTTAGTCTTTTAAAAATGGACCAATAGGGCTGATGATAGCACGGCCTGGATGAGAAGACACACACTCTTTCATGTCCTACTCACGGCGAGAGAAATCATAGGATGATTTACGACCCTCAAAAAAGCCTTACTGACAAATTTTTTTAGGTATGTAAAATACGTAAAATTATCTGTTATTGTATCTATTCAAAAATCTGAAATAATAAAATCTATTAAAAGTATCTAACTTACTTCAATTTACTAAAATAAAAAAAAATGTTTCATCAAAATTTTAAAATTACCTAGGCACATCCAGCCGGGTTAGATCTTTGTATTTCTTTGACGTGCCTCGCATGATCTTAATTAAGTATCTACTTATTATCTTAAGTCAAAATTGATTATTATTTAAAACAAATAACTTGAATGATTAAGTTCAAACTAAAATAATCACTACATAGTAGAAAACAAAGTCGCTTTCTCTGTCCCTTTAACCCTATGTATGCTTAAATCTTTAAAACTACGCAACTGATTTTGATGAAGTTTTTTTACTAGATAGAGTGAATGAAGAGGAAGGTTTCTATGTATAATAACTCCGTTAAATCGTGGAGAAACATTGTGTGAGTACTGCGCCGTGCGAAGCGACGAGGCCCCTCTCCCTCATCTTCTTCAACAGAGTTATTTGTAGTAGGAGAGTTTGACACACTAAGTCATTTTTTTTTTGTTAGGGGAAAATCATCAAATGTCTTCGAGGGAGGGAGTGTCAGACTCTTACTGACTAAAAGCCCCCTGTCCTTCTCCTGCTCTGGGCCGAGGTCGCGGTGCCTCATTGCGCTTACCCCGCAACCCCGGCTGACACCAAGTCATTTAATGGTTAATTTACCCTACAATAAAAAATCATATCGTCGTGGTGGCCCGGAGGTTAAGGAACCAGCTTCTCATGCATGAGGGTGTGGGTTCGAAACCTGGCAAGTACCAATGTGACTTTTTCCAAGTTATATGTACTTTCTATGATTAATTAGACACCACTGACATACGGTGAAGGTAAACATCGTGAGGAAACCTGGACTTATAATTTATAGTTACAAGTTTGCAATCGCCAACCCGCATTTAGCAACCGTGGTGATTAATGCTCTAACCTTCTCCGTGTGAGAAGAGGCCTTTGCTCAGCAGTGGGCATTTATAGGCTGATGATGATGATGATGATGAAAAAATCATATCAAAAAGTTACACTTGAGGTATATCATATCAATAAAATGAAATAAGATATTAG